CCAGCCTTCTGCAGGCTGCCCTGCTGGGCCTTCTCTGTACACCTTTATGTCAGGGTACCTATTCCCATGGACCACAGCTGTGACCTGGCTGTCTCCTTTTGGCTTGTGTCGTCGGATGACATGGTTGTCTGTCTATCCCTGGTGCTCTGGGTGGGTCCCTGTGCTCAATTCTGCTCCTGGTGTGTGAAAGGAATGAACACCTCCAGGAGATGCTCCAAATTGGATCCTAAGCAATCGTGCCTGAAAGCAGGGTGTTGGTCCACATTCCAGATGTGAATACAGAGGCTCAGAGATGCTGCTTGGCTGGTCCAAGGTCCCGTTCAGAGGTGAGGCCAGGGGCTGGCATCTAATGCAGCTGGGGTGCTCTTGAAGCAGGGCACATGCCTTCCTCGCAGGTGAAGCTCCTTTTCCAATGAAGAGATGCTGGTCTTCATTCCCAATGAGATTGTTTTCTTTGAATGCAGAGCTGATTCCCATTGCAGTGACTGGGCAGAAAAGTGGAGCTATCTACCTCCTTAGAATGGCTGCCTGGAGAAAATTGCCCTGGTGATAAGGTCACTCGTGAATGCAGTTATGGGAAGTCAGAGGACGGTTTCTGTTGCTTCTCTCAGACAAGAGGAAGCAGCAGGATCTGATAGAGTGTTCAGGTCCCCCTGAAACATGCTGGGTTGTGATCTGGCATGCCTTCTCTGTCCTCACTTTCTGCTTTGTAGCATCAGACGGTCCTTTCCTAAACCTTCTCCACCCGCCATGATGTAATTCTATGGCGTGTAATCTTTTGAGCACAGTAACTTTGCATGCCCTTTTCATAAAGTCAATGCTGATGCCCATTAAGATCAACACGCCTTTTTTCATTTAATCTTTCAAAGGCCACACACTTTGAAGATTGATGTTTTAAGGGAAAGATTACATTTTAAAGGAAGATGTGTTTGTAAAGGGATTTGTTTCCAAGCAGTATCTGATGAGGTTTTGGCATCATGGTATTTCTCCAAAATAGCCTTAATATTTTTAACAAATTTCCTCAGAGGCTTTTGAGGATGTTCTGAAACATTTTCTGAAAGTGTAAGTCACTAATGAAACATTTAAGAAACATTGCAATGAAAAGTACAAACAATTTTTCCACCTTAATTGACATGGAGGCCAAGACTCCAGGGACCCCAGAACCTCTAATATAAAGGAGAGAGAATGAGTCTTCATTGGGTCTGCATTGCATGAGGGGGCTTTTGAATTTCTGCCAGTGGTGTTGAAGGCAGAAATAAACATACTCGCTGCTTCCACTGATGAATGATTGACGATTTGTCAGAAAATGACGGAAGCTCTTTATATACCTGATAATCTTCAATCCTCTGAACCTCCTTAATTCACTGGCTTTCTTTCACTGTACCCATGGAGAGATGGGGTCTGGAAAGACCTCAGGGTATAAGAACTAAGGGGAGGGGTCAGACTCAGCTCTGATGTTCAGGGGGAGGAGAGTTTTGTGGCCGTGTTATGGAAAGACTGTGTGTGGGGTCTGGCTGCTGGCCTCTCAAAAGCCAATAAACAGGCCAGGTGGGGGGAAAGGAAAGTTTGCTTTATTTCAGATGCTGGCAACTGGGGGGGGAAAGTTAAAGACATCTGACCAAAAGACGACCTACACAAACTGGCAACCAGCGGGGAAAGAGCTTTTATAGACAGAACAAAGGTGGGGGGCTCCATGCAGAAGCAGCAGTCAGCTCTCTCAGTCATCTTCAAATTGATCGTCAGTGGTCTGACCAGCATCATCTTGGTTGTTTCAGGTGCAGTTAATCTCCCTAATTAATATTTAGTTAGTACAGTTAATAGTCCTAATCGCTTCCTAATGGGGTGCGTTTGTTCCCATTTCTTTGTGGCCAGTTCTCAGAATTGCAGCAGTTATGCCTCGGTTGTCACGTAGGTAACTTCTCCACCTGGTGTCTTAGTATCTATAGGACAGCTCACAGAATACGGCTCAGACTGTTGTCTACAGCCCTGGAGAAAGAACTAAAGGCCCTGACTATGCTTAATGACTGCATGATTATTATTTAGGCTCCTTTGACTGATTTCCTTGGTTTCCCCATTTCCCACTTCTCTGATTAAATTTAATCTTCGACTAAAATTTTCCGGAGACAAAAGGCAGGCCGAGGACGTGGGGGCGGATCGGGGAGGGGCAAGTCCCACAGAGTCCTGCTCTGTCGCACCTGCGTGTGGAAGTAGTCCTGCAAGCAGGTGGTGATCTGGTCAACCAGGTGCCGTGGGCCTGGGTAGCCTGCCCTGTAAACCCTGGCCGTCACTGAGCTCTCTCTAGGCCTCAGAAAGACCAGGGAGAGGGCTGGAAACAGAGCCGGTGACATTGGATTCCTGCAGATTCCTGCACCTCCTTCAAAGTGGACCTCGTGGTTACCAGCAGAAGCAATATGGAGTTTTAAAACTGATATTTTGAATGTGAGCTCATCAGTCTCATTGAATTACTGGGTGTTGGGTTATAATGAACCACGTCGTGTTAAAAAGGAAAAGGCAGCTTCTTACCCAGAAGCTGTATTTGCATCTTCACCTTCCAGGATTGCATCTTACTAGTCCTGCACTGTAGGAGGGTAGGGTGTGACTTCCCAGGAGAAAATATTCTGTATTGTATTTTCTATGTGTTATTATTATTTTTTTCTTCTAAATGTTAATTCCCCACTCTAAAACAAGACACTAGCTATTCTGCAGGTGAGGCATGGCTCTGGGAAACCAGAGCTGTGGGCCCCTGGGTCAGTGTTCCCTCGTGTGCCATGGATAACCACCTGTGTGCATTGGGGTCAGTACTGCCTGCCTCAGAGAGGATGTGAGGAGGGTATGAAATAATGAATGGAAACCCCTGAGCCTGTGGGTGTTGGGGTGTCCTGTTCCTGCCCTCCCCCTGATTCCCCCCCCCCAGGAGCAGAGATCACAGAGGGTTCAGGCATTATTGGAACTGATATCTACAAGCAAGTGTATCAGACACCTTTGCCAGCTCTGCAGTATTTCAAGAATTGAGACCGAGAGGGGTGATGAGAAAGAGGGGAAGTTGCATGGTTCCTGTTTAATGTGATAACAAAATGAAGCTCAGAATGGCTTTATTCGTCGGTCCCTCCACTGAGTTTTTACTAGAAATGCCTTGAAACTGAGCAGTGGGTTCTGACCTTGACTGGCTCTGATGCCTTTGGTAGGACTGGGGCATGCCCCAATGGCTCCCCATTAGGGAAATAGGTTTTTAACACATTTTCTGTTAAAAAATGAGCCTTTCAGGCTCATCAGCTTGAAATTCCATCCTGCAGAATTTATAGAGCTTGGGTCCTAAGATCTGCTGCATTTTAAAATGGCATGTGGAATCCTGCGTCTTCAGACACGGTGCCCCAGATGGCACTCTGGCCGGAGCTGAGACAAAGCTGTTGTCGTTGTTTAGTTACTAAGTCTTAAAGCCTAGTTAATCCCTTGTGCTCTTATTTTTGGGTCTGGCATAGCATGACCCCGTTACCTGCAGTGAGGTTGGATTCTGAACCCCAGCAATGATGGTCTGGTCCTCCAGGCAACATGGGGGCAGAAAGAGGGGGGCCTTTGAAAGGAAACATAGATGCCAATCATCCTTTGCCAGCCAAGAGAGACCAAATCTCTTCTTACTCCCTCCTTATTCTCTCCCCTTTCTGAGATCCTGCCAGCTACTACTGTGACTTATTTAGAAAGATCAAGTTCTCGAGGCTCCCCAGGTGGCTCAGTGGTAAAGAATCTGCCTGCCAATGCAGGAGACGCCGGTGATCCTTGGGGATCCCCTGGAGAAAGGCATGGCAACCCACTCCAATATTCTTGCCTGGAGAATCTCCTGGACAGAGGAGCCTAGTGGGCTACAGTCTATGGGGTCGCAAACAGTCCGACACAACTGAGCGACTAAATAGCGGCAGCAGGAACAGTCCCCCCAGAACCTGCTCAATTGCAAGGAATTTCAAGTAATTACCTTTTAGCTTCTTCCCAGGTAGCTTGTATTGTCCCATTACACGTGGTAGGAAGCAGAGGCTGCTGATGAAAGCACATACCACTAGAACATTCTAAAGTCACAAAGGGACTTCAGGTTAGAGACTGGCTGATCTCTTATGTGCCATATGGGGCAAGGACTTTTATCCCACATTCTTCTGGGACTCTCCCTTGGACTGCAAGGAGATCAAACCAGTCAATCCTAAAAGAAATCAAGTCTGAGTATTCCTTGGGAGGACTGATGCTGAAGCTGAAGCTCTAGTACTTTGGATGGGAAGAGGCAACTCATTGGAAAAGAACCTGATGCTGGGAAAGATTGAGGGCAGGAGGAGAAGGGGGTGGCAGAGGATGCGAGGGTTAGATAGCATCACCGACTCAATGAACATGAGTTTGAGCAAACTCCGGGCGGGGGGGAGTGAAGGACTTGGGAGCCGGGGGTGTGCTGCAGTCCCTGGGGTGGCAAAGAGTCAGACATGACTTAGGCACCGAACCACAGCAACAAGGAACTGTGCAAAGTGCTCTCTGTGGCACATTTATTTAACCTCCCTTCATCTATGAGGCTTCTGTGCTGTCACCAGCCCTTCCATTACAGATGAGGAGACTGAGGTTGGGCGAAGTTCAGTGACCCGCTCAAGGTCACACAAGTAGAGGAGGGATTGTCGCACTGTTGGTCATTATGCATGTGCTCGTAGTCAGATGTTAGCGCCTCCAGGCATTGACAGGTAAGGAAGGGCAGGGGACTAGCCTAGCTTTAGAAACTAGGGTGTCTGGGTCTGAGTCCTAGTTCTTGAAAGTGTGAGCTGTTTGGCATCATGTCAGTCGTCTCATCTCTCTTATCTTTCTTCTGAAAGGAGCTGCCCTGAGTGATGACATCCAGTGGACACATTATGGTCCATTGGCCAGATGCTCTTGTCCGTCTACATCAGTGCTGCTTGGGGTCCAGTTGTAGAAGCCCAGGCTGTCTGTGTTTGGCTGATGAGACCTCAACCTCTTCATTTCCCTCTTGTTTTTTTTAGGTAATGAACCAAGAAGATCATGTCTGAAGTACAAGGAACGGTTGAGTTTTCTGTAGAGCTACATAAATTTTATAATGTGGATCTGTTTCAGAGAGGGTGAGTATGCTTTCACTAATTGTGCTTCTTTATATCGTTGTTTGTTCGTTCCTCTTGTTTTGTTTTTCCTCTGACAGGAGATGATGGTGGTGAGGAGAGGTCAGAGGGAATTTTGGATTCACGAGGAAAGAATTTGTATGATTTTTTTCCTGCCAAGTGGAAAGCCCAGTCTTTTAGTGCATTTGAAAATGAGCCATAAGTTGACAAAGACCAGAAAATGCTAATTTCTCTTTTCCTCCTGCACCTTTACCTACTTGCTCTTCCCATTAAATCTGTCAGTCAGCATTCAAGGAAGGTGAATTTATTGGAAATGAAGCTTGCCTGTGTAACGCTGATAAAAAGATGTCTGTAGGATCAATATTTGTAGAGGCCAGCTCACCAAACCACATATCATATACCTGTACCCAGTTCGCTCAGAAACTGAGAGTTTACAATGTCTTTTAAAAATACACAATTAAAATACAGCTGGGTTCACTTTTTGAGGATGTACTCTGACTTTGGCATTTGAATCTCACACTGACAAAGAATGACCAGTTCATCAGAGCCAACACTCAGTAGACTGAGAAATGTGAACTTACATATGGATTTGTAACCCTAATTATTAATAATGCACCCCATCTGAGCTGTATATTGACTTTCAGATATTGACTGAAGCTTGTGTGAAATCATTATTGTTAGCAAGACATTTCAAAATGGCACATCCAGGTCACAAAGAGAGCTCTGTGCAGGTGGTAAAACTGGTTGAAAATGAACATGGAACTCATGAGTTATCTAGTAAGTCTGTGGTACTCTTCTTTCCATATCTACATGGTTTGGGAAGGCATCTTATTTAGCCATGTTCACTGCTAAAGTCTAATATTGAATTGGGCTGAATTAAAACCAGAACTTTGAATCTCTATTCTACATTTTTATATGTATATTTTAATATATAATACATGTAATTTTTATTATTGTATATCATTGTATGTATACTTATCACTGTATATCTATGTCATATATGTTATATATATTTTGATTACTGTGTATGTTACAGAAAGTTATGTGTTCCATTAACACATAAAATAATTATTTTTAAACTTTGAATTATCACATTTCTTATCTTTTAAATACTTTTCTTACATTTATAACACATACCATTTATGAGTATAACTGTACATGCATATGATTTATAAATAAACACACATATATTGGGGCTGCATGCCTGAAAATATTTTTACGGGTAAATATGCAACTCCTGAATGCTTGGAGACCACTGGTCCGTCTCATCTCCCAGAGCAAGGAAGACTCTCACAGCTTTCTTTCAGCTCTTAATACTTCCATTTCATGGAGTCAAAGAGTGTGGAAGTCTAAGCACACTTCATTGTGGATGGGGGCATAATTATATGATCAGAGTTGCTTGATAGTGGGTTTCAGTTTAACTACATTCAGGAACAGGCCAGGGCAACTTTTGGATGAAGTCTGTTAGGCTTCTCGGGGGGATGGCAGGAGCTCTGACCCCTGAGGGCCCAGCTCCAGGAAGACCTGGATGCAGATGGTCCCCAGCGCCCCCTGGATTCTGCGAGCAGGGAGCTGTGGGCAGGCTGGGCCTGATGCTCACGGGGATTCTGCCTCTGCTGGGGCAGTTCCTGACAGGCGTGACCCCTGGAGCTCAAGGGCTAAGGATTTTTCTGCTCTGAACCTCACAGGCACCCTGTGTATGTGAAATGTAATTACTTTCCTAGCAGACACTCCATGGGGATGTGATGCCTGCCATCCAGACCTCGCGGGCGCAGTGGGGGCCTGTGTGAAGGATGGTGGATGATCTCTTGATGTCGTCAAAGAGAGAGAAAGTGGGCTTTGGGGATGTGTGCTCCATTCTGTCCTTGGATGGGAGAGAATAGAGCTGGGGCTTGGAGAAGAAGGAACATGTCCTTCTTTGAACTGTGTTTGACTGTGGTCATCTGTGTTCCACTTGGTTTCTCCAGTTAATGAGGCTTCTTGAGCCTCTGTCCAGATATGCCAGTTCATTTACCCTGTCTGCCAAGATAGACAACCCTCTTTGTTTAAAAAAATGTTTATTTGGTTGCACTAGGTCTTAGAACAAGTAGGATCTTTAGTTGTGGCATGTGGGATCTAGTTCCCTGACCAGGGATCAGACCCAGGCCCCTGCATTAGGAGCATGGGGTCTTAGCCACTGGAGCACCAGGGAGGTCCCAGCCACCTCCCCCACTCTTGATTTGCTGTGAGATGCTGTGTTGTGTGAGATGCTGTGTTGAAATCACATGGATACAGAACTGAGAATACTGAATGGGGATTTATCCTGATCAGGGAGTTACTTGCTTACAGCACTTTTATGTTTATCATTAATTTTTTCTAGTTCCAGAATGTATACTGCTTTTTGGTGATGTTGAACAAGCAATCAACTTGCATTTACCCGAAGTTTATACTGAAGTGAGCTCAAGGATTTAGGGCTAAGGTGTATTCTCAAAGAAGAGCATCTCCTGAAACCAGTCAAAGGCTTCATGAATGGTCACTTCTGTGCTTGGTAGTGAGCCTCATCCTGATAAAAAGGCAGGGTGGGGAGGCGCTGGGGAGCCTGGCTGTGGGTCAGACCTGGCTTTGAAATCAGGCTCTGCCACGTATAGGCTGTGACAACATGAGGCAGCTGTCATTCTAGTATGGTAATGACAAAGTCCATCTCGTGGGGTAATCTGATCAGGTAGGGCGCTAATTGCATTAATTAATATATGCAGAGCAAACAGCTGGCATGGCAACTGGTATCGAGTAGAGGCTATCTAAATAGTCCCTTCTACCTGTGAATCCTGGCTTCCAGTCTGTCCTTCACATTGTTAGTGGAGTTATTACCCCAAAGGGTTGATGTTACCATCTTGCTTCCCTGTTTAAAAATCCCCCGGCTTCCTTCTGCTCTCTCTCAGCCCAGTGCTCAGACTTTCAGTGGTTTGATCTTAAACTTCTTCTATGTTATTGTCTGCACTCTGACCCTGTGTGTTAGTTGCTTAGTCGTGTCCGACTCTTTGCAGCCCCATAGACTGTAGCCCACCAGGACCCTCCGTCCATGGGTTTCTCCAGGCAAGAACACTGGGGTGGGTTGCCATTTCCTTCTCCAAAAGGAACTATAGAAAGAAAGAAAGAAAGTGAAGTCGCTCAGTCGTGTCCGACTCTTTACGACCCCATGGACTGTAGCCTACCAGGCTCCTCCTTCCATGGAATTTTCCAGGCAAGAGCACTGGAGTGGGTTGCCATTTCCTTAATATTAATATCTGCCTTGACAGTTCTACCCTCTGCAAGCTCCAGCTCAAATATAACCTCCTCTCCAAACTATTTCTGTATGTTGATTGATATTCACCTTCTCTGTTCAGCCCAGTTTTTGTGAATCCTCTTTCCCCCTGCTTCTAAAGAGTATCTTTTGTGTTTTATTCTGTCATCCACTCACTCACACATGACTATAATCTATGTGAAGGTTTTCATTGCTTGATATTCAGCTTCGTTTCCTGTCTTTCCTCCATTCCTTCTTTACAATGTCATTTAGAAGATTTTTCTGCTCAGAAGTTTTAGATGATTTTACGTGTAAATTTTGTCCTGCCCACAGAAGGGTTGCACAGAAAGGACCTATAATCAGGATCTGATGTGTAAGGCCAAACACTTGTAGAAATATTAGGGTCAGAATCCCCTCTGCAGAAACTCACTTGCCTCATCTCTGCCGAAGTAAAAACGGTTCACTCCTAAGTCAAGAGGCTCCTGAAAGAAAATGCCATCTGTGTTGCTGCCTTGACATTTCCCATTGTGCCTGATGCCCAGTGACAGCTAAACTCCCTGTGAAATCAGCTAACTAGCCCTGATGTGCCTTAATAGACTCAGAAATGCAATTATCTTTGCTTGCCAGAGATCAGTTAATTGATTTGTCTGATTCTGTCAGAAACAACCCTTCTCGTCTCTTCTCTTATTAAAATTTGTTGCGTCCTTTGCAGTCCTTCCCTTCAGAAAGGGAGTAGGGATCACACGTGGTTTGATTTGGGACTTCTATCACTTGCAGCCAAGGGTTCCATCTAGTACAAGGAGAGTAGATAAGACTCAGTGATCTTTAACTGTCCTTCTTTCTGTTAAATTCCATCATATTATTTTAATAAAAATTTGATCTCTCTTTCCCCATGAAATGGCATTAAAAAAAAATTATTCCTATGGAGAGGGAACAGACGTCAGATACCCACGGGCTTATGTAGATGGACCGTCCGGATTACTTTTCTAGCAAATCCACATTCCTGTTAAGAATTACCCTGTCCCATTTTTTTCCGCTTTGAATCTGTGACTTCATAAGCCTGCGGCTCTAGGCCTTTTATCCTCTTAACCCCTGGCTGAGGACACGCTCGGCAGATCTGTAGAGAAAAGACGCTTCCAGGGGGCTGAGAGTCGGCGCGCAGAGACTGAAACATCTCGGTGAGCTCAGAGCCACCCACAGGGCCTCCTGGCCCCTGGAAGGAGTAAAGGTGGACCAGAAAGCCAGCAGGCAGCGCGGTCCCTTCAGTTCTGTGCTCACTGCGGTGCTCGCTCAGGCCTCTCAAGGGGCACGACAGGGCATGTGGTCATGAACGTGGGGTGGCGGGAACAGCAGAGACCCAGGTCTGGTCTGAGAGTCAGAGACCTCAGGTCTGCTTCCACGTCTTCTGTTACGAGCCGGGCACCGTGGGTGCATCGCTGACTCTCTGGCCTCAGTTTTTGCTTGGCAGTATGTTATGTATGCCTGTGGCTGGTTCATGTTGATGTGTGGCAGAAACCAACAGGATACTATAAAGCAGTTATCCTTCCATTAAAAATAAGTAACCACACACACACAGGAAGTCATGAGGTGATGTTTGTAAAGCATCCAGTTAGAACCAGGCTTGGCAGTGCTGGCAAGGTGGGCTAAGCCCATCCTAGCCTTTCTCTCTCATTGGTCACAACTGAAATGTGCACCAGATGGTCCTCAGCTGGTTAGCCAGGGCTGGAGCTGACCCGGTCGGCAG